TGCGAGTTGAAGAAATGAGAGCTGAGCATTTCGCAGTATTGGAAAGCAGACGTCTTCAACAACTAATTGGAGAGTTTGCCATAGATAAAGCTCTGTGAATCTATCCAACGAAGAATCAAGTTAATGCTCATAATGAAGCAGTGCTTCAATACTTCAGAGCTCTTAAGACCCCTATGTACACAACAATAGCACAAGATCAATTAGTGGATGCCGCAAGAAATGTTGAAAATATCGAAATAAACACAATCATTCCAAAGGACATCAATAAGACTGGAGGCTTGCCACGTGAATTGCTAATATTTATAGGAGCCAAAGTCATGTTAAGATCCAACATTGATTGTTGGATATATCCTAAAAATCACTTGCCCTATTCCTAGTCGTGCGCAATTGCACCAAAGACAAATATCTGAAACCGTTGCAATAGACTTTGGCAAGGACGACACACACCAAATTAAGTCGAAATCAGTTCAGTTCCCTGCTACTCGTGGCTATGGTACAGCTGAACGAAGAATGCTGCCACTAATTATATCGTGGCCATCGACACTGCACAAAATGCAAGGATGTACAGTGGATCATGCAGTCGTGTACTTGGGATCAAAGCTCTTAGAAGCAGGTCGCGCATATGTTGCCTTAAGTTGTGTTCGCTCGCTGGATGGACTTCCAATTTAAGATTTGGACAACCTAAAACTAACCGGAAAGACACCATGCTATAATGAAGTGTTACCAAAAATTTATAACATTAAAATTATCAACCAAGTTACTCGATTTGTGTCTCAACATTTTACACACACAAATATGGTTAAGTACATTGCAAACAACATCAAGGCAATGTATCCAGTTAAGAACAGTGCTCTCGGATCACACTATAAAAGGTAAGGTCCACAAAAGAAGTAGACTTAGTCTTAGACTGAGTCTATTTTTTGCAAGTATTTCTAAAAAGTATCAAACAATATTCCTTGTGAAAAATCGTTAAAATTAAGACAAAAAATTGAAAAATAAACTCCTTAAAAACATTTATTTAAAACAACGGTTTTATTTTAAAGTGCACTCAAAAGTAAAAAAATTGCTTTTTTTCAGCCGTCACCAGCTGATCAGATTATTATTTTACATTTGTAACTAAAAATAAAACCGTGGGGCGTTCCTTTAATATCACTATTATCCTAATCGATGACCAAGAATAGCTAACGATAATTATCAACACATGGTAGTCAATAGCATGACAAAATACTATCAGATTTCCAATTATATAGCAGGGCTATCTCTATTTGCTCCTACCAATCTCATGATGGTACTTTGTTGGTTTAGATGCCTCTATGTGTTAGTAGCACGTATGGAATCATCAAAACTATTCCATGCTAAAATTATAATATTTAGCTTTTGAGGAGTTGGAACTAAGTATAATATGAAATGGGCTTGTAGCGTTCCTTTGTAAACTAAAGGCTCACAATATGAAGGGAGTGGTATCTGATATCACTAGAAAAGGTTAGGTGCAATGTAGAACATGCATGATATGGAATTTCACGTATAAATAATAAAAGGACTAGTCTTAAATTCTAATACAAAGTTCACCATTCATCTAAAAATCTCGAAGAGCAAATTTTATTGATCAAAAGTTAAAACTTCACAACATAATAAGTATTTGAAGCAATTGAAACGCACATGTCGACTTGATTATGATAGGAACATGAACAAATGCATAAACAGTAGCTAAAATAATTACAATTACAAATACTTGACAAATACCTTCAACATAATTTGAACCAAATCTTCTACGCTTTTATTATATTATCGGATAAAGCAAACATCGATTGCATTACCTATATATAGTAATTACATGTACATGTCATTTATGTACTTATCTTCCCTTCGACTAATATACTCTGACCAATAATAGAAGTTGCCATAGGAAATTGAGAAAACAAATGGGCTTAGGTATACTTTGGATCACTTTGCAGTCAACTGTTCTTAAATAAAATATTGAAAGATACTTTTTTTAAAACACGCTTTAATGAAATGTCCTGTCCGAGCAGCCCCTCCCCCTTCCCCCTTCGCCCCTCCCCTCCTCCCACATCCCCCGCCCCTCGGCGTGGCTCCCCGAGGCTCGCCTTAACGTAAGGGACCGTGGCGATTTACAGCCAACGTGAGTTGGCCGTGGACAATTGAATCATGGGGTCCCGCAAAAAATCAGGTGAAAAATAATTATTATTTTTCAGTCCGCCCACTCGTGATCCCGCAAGGACACCGCCTGTTGGCGCCAACAAGCGCCAGCAGGCGGCGATCAACACGACGGGCGCCACCCCACCGGCCAAACGCAAGCCCCGGGGGGCGTCCGCCGCTATCGCGCGCGGCGACGACGCCCTCCGGTCAGCCGTCGATCCTGAGCTTCTTTGCCAAGGCGAGCCCGCCCCCCAGGCAGTGAATTTAACGTGTTTATGTAATTTTTCAACTTTTTACGAAACTTAGTGCCCCGAGTAGCTCTCGACGAGGCCAATCTATTGACCACTAGTTTTGTTGTTGTCGGTAAGGCAAGACTCGTGTTGCTACGCGGTTTTTCCCACCCCGGGGAAGGGATGGGACCCCGGGGTCCCGCCAATTGCTTCAATTAGAGCCGTAAAAAGGTTGTTTTTGAAGATATATTTTTAATTTTAATGATATAATACCAAGCTTGCAGTCGATACGACATTGGGAAGACGGTTGAAATTGAGTTACAAGATTTTCGGATACAACACAGAGTAAGTTAAATAAAAGCGTATGAAATATTTACAAATATATGTTTTGGATTTTTTTATCGTAGAATATTGTGTTGTCATCAGTATGACATAGGTATTTCAAGTTTGCAGTCGATAGCACATTGAGAAGTGGGTAAGAATTGAGTTACAATAACTTTTTACTGGTAGGAACTGCCTGGTTGGGGCTGGGTGGGGAGGGGCTGGTCACCCCGTGGTGCCCTTATAAAGCTAAACGTTTAACCTACTCACGCCGGCTTGTGCCCGCCCTCACACTCGGGCATATTTGCGGAATACACCACATGGTGCCGCCGTTGACCCTGGCCATTGACCGAGCAACCCAACGTTCCTACCAGTTCCCTCCGCAGGAGAATGTGTTTTTGGAGGATACAACAGACGGAGTGAGTTATATAAAAGCGTGTAAATGTTAATAAATTAATTAAAGCTGTTCATCACGGATTCGAGTAGAAAGAGCTACTAAAACGGAATTAATAATTATACTCAAAAACTTGTAAATGTTCTCCACTTCATCGCATAGTTAAATGACATCATTATCTACATTTTCCCTTCTACTAAAAATGATTGGAAATAATTTTTGATTGGAAATAATTTTTACATACATTCTATCATGCAAATACACTTTTATCAAACTCAAAAAATTCTAAAGCAACTAATTATGCATCAAAATATTCAAGGAGCACCCCACGGTTTTATTTTTTTGTTACAAATGTTAAATAATATTCTGATCAGCTGATGACGGCTGAAAAAAAGTAATTTTTAACTTTTGAGTGCACTTTAAAAGAAAACCGTTGTTTTTATAAAATGTTTTTAAAGGAGTTTACTTGTATTAAAACAACACACTTTAGCTCGCGTCAAAAATCACAGCCCGGTGACACACGACCTACGAGACGTCTTACAAGGCCTGTAGTATTTTGATCGAGTCCTTTTCGTGGGGCGCCGCGGTGGCGAGATGTTACCTGGCTCGCCTGTTATACAGGTCGTGAGTTCGATCTCAATCCTGTAGATGCCCGTATATTTGGGGTTTGCATGTTCTCCCTGTGGTCGCGTGTATTTTTCTTCGGGTCCTCCGGTTTCTCCCTCCACATTGAGAAACACGCGTTTAAGTATTTGGCTGCTATACATTTCCGCACGCTTCTGAAAAACTATATAGCTCAGTGGGCCTTACCTGGTAAAATAAAGTTGTTTAGTTTCATAGTTTAGTGTTCCTGTATGTACTTGTTTTGTTCGTCCGTTATTGAAGTGCAAACGACTCCAACCGCAAATCCATGTCGAAAGCTCTAGTAATTATTACATTTTGGTAATGAGCAGGCGAGAGCTTATCGAGACGTGTCTCTTTGGCAAGGGAGATCTGGGAATTGAGAAAAATAATCAGACAGTGGGGGATGGATTGTGAATATAAACTTGGTGCATGCCGTGAAAGTGTAAACGGTATTTCTATATTTAAAAAAAAAACATTACAACCAAATTATCCCTAAGTTAAGCATGTCATGGATCTAAAAAGATTTGGAGACTAGAGGTCCTCTCAATGTCTCTTCTCAAAACCATATTCTGTATTATTGTGATTTTGCAAGCAATCCATGTTCCACTTGTTTTATGTCTGTGAGTTACAAGTGGACGTTATTGCTCTTAGTTCCCCAAGGGAACATATATCAACTGACTTCCACAACTGGGACACCACGATCCTCTGGAGGCATCGGCAAGGACAAACATTAGATTCCCCCCCCAGCTCTCGACAGACTGACTGTTGGGTCAAGTATTGTTGGTGAGTACCTTTAGAGGCCAACACAGCACAAGAATGGGTGGGTGGTAAGCACCTCGCAAGGTTGTCTTTATCCCACCAATGCAGACGTTTACAGACCACACCAGATACTCATGGAAGGCTAAGTCGAGTTAGGGAAGGCGCAGGACTGGTTCAGATATTCGTCACCGACGTTGGCTTTGAGCAGGAATCAAACTCGGGTCGCCGAGTTCGTAATGCAGTGCGCTAACCACTGATCCCCAAAGCAAGTACGGGGACATACATACACGTGGTGGAAGAGAGATGCGGGTGTTTTCATGGCACAGACATATCACTTCAACACTAGGGCTGTAATGCAGTTCCCACTTCAAAGCACAGCGGTTGACATTGCAAAGCATTATTTTCTCATTTCAATTCTTAGGGCTGTACACAAACACGACAGACATTTTTTTTACGCTTTTAATCACTCCAAAATAACTCGCACAGACGCGAAATAAATCAACGCGAAACACAACTGGGCCAAACGTTACACTTTATTCAATTTCTTGTTCTTTAATATAATTTAGTTTGGTTATCACAACAATTACATAATGTACAACTGAACTGACGACGTCGGCTCGTGGCGGCTACATCTGGGAGTGTCGAGAAACATTGAACCTCGAGAGAGAAAAGTGTCGCGGATGCTGCGACCACATGGAGGGTCACGCCGGGCAGAAATGATGCCGCGGGTTCAGCGCAACTCAAAACCTAAAAAGGGTCGGGGGCACCCAAGCGGACGCTGCCCCGCGTGTGCGCATGAGCAACAAACATCCAATTCGGCATTGTACAGAGCCAAATAACGCCAATGAGTGCACAGCGGGATGTCGGCAGCAGGTGAGCTGCACTGGAGCAGAGGTTCCGTGCTTCTGGCTCGGCCGGGTGGGAGCCTCCTGCCGCCTTTGCCACGCTGGTGTTTGTGGGAGGGAATGAGCCGCGTGAGTGAACGGAAGAGGGGATGCATGGTGGCGTGGTTACCGATGCCTGCAGCTGATGATTCACAAAACAAAAAACTCACTTTACCGTCCTTTATTTCACCAGTGAAAGCCAATGAGATTCATGACCTCTGTTCCACGAAGAGTGCCCGGAGTGGCTTAAGTTATAAAAAAAAGAACAGGTATTGCAATGTTCCTTCGTTTGTCTCTCTTGTTTATCTCTCTCTCAAAATGAGTTGGGTTTATTTTGAAATAAATCTTGAAAATGTCACCGGGAAAAAATTACCAAGCAGCTGCAAGAATGGAACCGTTCACTCCGTTGAAAGTGGCTCTGTGGCGAGTGCGCCGACGCAGCTTTTACGGAGGGCCACGCACGCACTTCAGCGCAACACTAAAGAGGCAATCTCCCGCAACTGTGCATCAGAATTTTTGCTTAAACTTTACAACAACAAAACATCCAAAAGGAAATAAGCACAAGTTGGAGAAAAACATCGGTGTGGCAATAATTCAACACCGACATTTCCCAGAGGTGTCCAATGGAACAAAATGTTGACTTATTTTTTTCACCTATCTTTAGGTTAACGTGGAGGCTGTCGATCACTCACTGCAACCGGTGCGGAGTTGCACTCAGGACTGCCCCACTGTGCTCTTGTGCACTACTCGGCAGGTTTGGATGGATTTGATCAGTCTTACTTTAATTCCAACACCCACTGTGCTGTTTGTTTCTCGCCTGATGTTCAAAGGAAAATATTCAAATTGTGGTTTGATGCCGAGAGGCACAAGATAAACTCAGCGTATTAAACATAGTTCTACCCGACAGCGCAGGGATGAACCCATGTGATTAGATGTTAACATGCTGTCCCGTGCCTACATCTTTACAACACCTTGATAACACCATTATTAACATAAAAAAGTATAAGTGTCTCCAACCAGCATCGAAGGAATTACGCGATAGATCACAGAGTGCAGCACCAATCTCTGAATGGATGTGAATCCTTAAAAAAAGGGGGCCCTTTTACCATAAAATATACCTGTGATGACTTGATGGGACACATTTTTTTTACTTTCGTGATTTTCTCAAATGTAGTGCCTGCAGAACCCATGCCATGTTGAGCTGTGTATATGGTGTGGGAATTTTCTAAGCATATAAACAAATCGAGGAAAACCTTGCCCCCCACCCCCAAAAAAAATGCCAAACACAAAGAAATCGGACACACAAAATAAGCAACGCAGCTAACGATGAAATGGACCATCATGCAAAAAAGAGAATGTCCACATGGGCATGTTATTAAGCAGCAGGAGCCATTGCTGGAGAACAAAAAAAACGTTTCAAAGAATTGCAGCTGGCTGCCGAGCAAAACATTTGCAAACTAATCCCACGCAGATTGTTGCGGCGTCTGCGCGTGACAACGCTGCTGCGTCACAGCATGCAAATTTAGGTCGCGCGCCTGTGCAGCTGAAACTGCGACGGTAGGAACCGCGAAACCACTCTCAACGAGTGGGTGCGGCACGTGCACCGCCAGAGGATGTTGCTTTGCAGTCATTTTAAATGCCTGGAGAGTGGCAGCGCTGGATACTGGAGATTTCCGCTGAATTTGAGCGACCAGAAAAGCTCCTTCTGCTGGGCAGCGACTCCCACCAGCATCACCTGCGCGAGTCGACTTTAATACTGAATCTGCGGCATCGAATCTCATTGGCGTCTCAGCAGTATTGGCTGTTCATGTTATCAGACGTTATATATATTTGTTAAACTCTTGCATATAATGTTGAAATAAACCTTTTTCAAAATACAAAAATAAAATGGCAGAAATGTAATGATGCAATAAAACAACCAAGTGTTCTACGGCAAGGACAATATGAACTTGTGCATTTAGTGAGAACAAAAGGGGCTCCTTTAAAAAGTAAGTTCTGTGTGCTGGGTCATGGTAATTGAACGTGTTCGTGGCGTGTGTGCTCCTTGTTTCGATCGCCACGCAAGCAGCCACACAGGCGGTCGTCCTCAGGTGAGGACGACCGCCTGTGTGGCGATCGAAACGACGTGATCTATTATTGTTTTTCTACGTGACTTTACCGAAAGAACCAAAGAGTATGGACTCCTTGTATACATTTACTCGTTTCGATCCCGCGTGTGGTTTTACACGTGCATAAGAGTGTGCGCGCGTGTGGGTCTTCACCCTGGCCAGGTCGCTCTGCGCTAGTGTGAGCTGGCCCTCTCTAGGGAGCTGGCCCTCTCCATGGGGGCCAGCTCCTTTTAACGGTACCAGAACGGCCTCAATCGATACCCTTTGCTGGGGCCGTGGCCAAGCCTGGCCAAGGTAGCCTGGGCCTGCTGGTGGCTGGGGAACACCGCCACTACTTTGTGGTTGGAGGCCAGGTTCCGGTCATGCCGGTCTGCCACGTCCTGCTGCTGGTGCCCCTTGCTGCCGCCGTGCCTCTGGGTGGGCTCGGTGCCCGTGTGGGGCTTCACCTCGCTCTTGCCGTGCCCCTGGCTGCTTGTGTCGGGGTACGCGCCATTCCCCTGGAACGCGCTCACAGCGTTGGTGTCCGCGTGCTTGGACGCCGTCGCTGGGTTCGCCTTCCGGTGCGCATTCGGCTGCGATGGCACGGCGGCGGCACCACGCGTGGAGGCCTCGCTCGGTTCCCAGTGCGGCGTGCAGTCCCTGGCTGGCGCCTCCCACTGAGGCTTAGTCACGTCACTGGCGGCGCCGGAGTGTCTGTTGGGACGAATGGCGGTGGCCACTACGTCATCCGACGTGGCGTCCCTGAACCAGTGCAGCTCACCACCGGCGGCCGAGAGCTTGCTGAGGAGCGAGTCAACCTCGGAGCGATAGATCCCAGCCGGCAGGTCGGTCACCTCCAGCGTGGCACCCCCGCCCAGCACTGCTGTGCGGGCCGTCACAACATCGACATCTGTCAACACGCGAGTGCTCCCCCGCCCCTCCCTCTGCTCCCCCGCGCCCCCCCCCCCCTGCTCTCACACAAAGGCCAATGGCGTCCCTTTAAAATGGTATTCTAATAGGCATGTATCGATCCAATGCCCAGCGATTCTGTGCAGTGTTAATATGACGTCGTGATTATCTCACTCCACTAGCATTTATGTAACAGCTTTTGCTCTGTATAATTTATATTAATGCTCAATAATGAACACCGACTCACAACATTTGATGCATTTGTCGTAAACACAATAACCAATTTTAATTGATGCATTGATGAATAGTTGAATGCCTTATCTTTAATGTCACTCCAACTGCTGTTGTCACCAACAATTTGTTACAATCGTTCGTCAATTACGAATCGTAAATAATTCCATCACCAAGCCAATCGGGAGGTTAAAAAAATAGCTACCGTTGCTAGCGTGCGTAGCTATAAAACGTTTCAACACAATTTCTGAGAGCCTACTTTAGAAACACGTTTAATTTAAATATGACAACTGTGCCGTAGTTTTGATTTACAAAGTTTAAACACGACTATCTCAGAACTCTGTACACGGGGAGATGAGCACCGGCCGCTCGGGTAGGGAGAGGGGGGAGGGTGGTCACGGGAGGGAAACCAACGGCAGGGTCATCTGGGTCGTGCGCGGGGAGGTGCCGCTGCGTTAACCATCGCCACCTGGCTCCACGGAGCTGGCGTCCTCGGAGAGTGCTTTGTGTGGCATCCGCCTCCCTCGTCCGCCAAGCCTCACCTGATGCACACAGAATATTCATCGTTTGGTAAATCAGCGAAACGCTAAAACACCCGCCGTTAATAGTGACAACAAAACACACTCACCTGCTGCATAGACATGGAGTGTGGGGTTTGTGGCTGCAAGCTGCACGGCTGGGAGTTGTACTGCAAATGAGGGCCCAGCAGTGGATATCGGATATCGCCTGCAAAATTTAGAGCAGCTTGCTATTAATGATTGAACTCCTAGGTTTTAAATCTGTACATGAAGACGATAACTTTACATTGGCGTCCAGAGAGGGTGGGGAAAATGAAAACTGTGATTGCAGCTGAACGTTTTCAATTAAGATCCCAGTGGGGATTTCTGCTCTCGTGCTGTGTCAGACACATCAGCATGCGCACACGAAAGCACAGAGGCTGTCACCTGAGTGTATTTCTGGTTCACAGTCTGCCTCGCAAGTCTCAACTGTACAAAATGGCACAGGCAGTGCTGCTAAGGCACTGGTGGAAAAGGCAAACACGAGCTCAAATGGCTGTTTTGTTTACTGAAGACCAAAGATAACGATACTGGCATTTCATTCAAAGTGTTCCAATGGAATACAAGTTTTTGGATGATAAAAATCCATTACAACATTGCACAAAAGTCCAAACAGCTCTCGCTGAATTGAAAAACAACAACACAGTATGACATAATGAGCTTTGGTTAACTTTTGCAACAAATTTTGAACTAATAAACTAAATAAGTTTCAGCATTTTGTTAATCCACTGCTCAATGAAGCCCTCTCCATGCCTTAACAGTCATGGTGGTTGGTTAGTCGACCGAACATCACCAACATGGTCAGTGGGGGTTGGTGAAGCGGAGGAAGGTGGTGGGGGCAGGACCAGTTCAGATATAACTCACCACTGATCTTAGCCATGGCTTGGAATCTAACTCATGTCACTGGGGGCACATAGCAGAGTGCAACATCCACTGCAAAACCTCTTCACTTGTGTATTTCGGGAACAATGATTCTCACCTACTGTAACTCAATTGTGAGCGTCGAGCAGCCAAGCTACTCTGAAAGAAGTGACCCATTTGTTACAACGACAAAGGCCGGGGCTGGGGTTATGCTCGCGCTGGTGCTCTCACCATGCATGGGCGCAATATGCCGGTGTTGCACCATGGGCAGGGGCAGGAGTCCTGAGCGGATGGAGCCCAGGGCGGCCAGCGGAGTGGAAGAGGGCGACTGCGACGGCGACAGCATGGGGCTGTGGAGGTGAGGGCTTCCCTGCGGGCGGAAAGTAGTGCACGCTGCTGGCGTTGCATTCGCGAAGGGGACACGAGGGCGTGAGGCCACTCGGGGGGGCACATGAACAGCTCTCAGAGGTGTGATGGTTGGGGCTAGCGCACGCGATGTGATTCATTAATTGGATGAGTACATATGGGTCATGCAGCCACCATACACTCAGCATACTGTCGTGAAAATGTACAAAAAGGTACGATGATTAACAATGTTCAAGCGATTAAATAAACAGTGGCATCATTTCTGATGATGGAGAAGAAAGGGAATAATGGCAGAAATACCATACAAAAAACATTGGGCTCCAATGGGTTTTATAAGCTGAGGCGAGTTACCCCAAATTAGGCAACTAATATATCACTTTTACTTACATAAGCTGCCCTGGCCTCATTTGAATAGGGCCAAGGTTACACATGAACCTGAGTTTCTTATCCACTTGTTCTACTACAACAAATGAAACCTCTACTTTGGCTGTGTTAAAAGCCTGCAGAACTAACTTGGGATTTGACCCTGTCATAACCTTCTCATTTAGACAAATCTATTCAACCATGTGCATGGGAAAATGTAAAATTTCAGGAGAGCATTTAAGTTTAAAAATAAACCATGTAGTTTTCCAAGACTTATGTATAATAAACGCATTGAATTTAAAATTGAAAGCTACAAAACAAACGTCTTTGATGAAATCATATTTGACCAACTTCTGGTAGTCATGCGGGTACAATGATCCCACATTTAACATTGCCTCATTTCTGTAGCAGTCGAAGCTCGTAGAGAAACGCACACGTTTATTTTATCCCTCTTCAGAGTCAATAAATATACATTGTGGGAAAGTCAAAAGTGAGTGTGTTATGCAGACTCTCCCCAGTCAAGAGAACGTGGAATTTCTCCCTTCTAAACAGCAGAGACGAACACTGCCTATTCTAAGTCACTGCTCAGAATCATAATTGAAGCTATATACTCGAACCCATCCCATAATAACAGTAGCTAGCAGCAGCGCGTGCTTCCACTGCCCACCTGGACAGGGAAGTCGGCGTGGTTGAACTCGGCTCCTCGAGGCAGCCTCTGATCGAGGCTCAGGCCTCGGCGTTGGCCCCAGCGCGTGGGAGACGGTGCGTGCGCTGGGTGGGCCCCACTCGGCAGACTCAGCTGCATCAGGAACACGCCATGCCCTCCCGGCGACAGACCTGGCAGTGGAGGCAGTGAAACGTCACGTACGCCGCGGTGGCGAGATGTTAACCACCTCACCTGGTAAACAGAAGGTCGTAGTATATTCTTCTTGGTTCTTTCGGTAAAGTCACGTAGAAGGGAAACAATAAAATTACTAAAAAATATATAAAACAATAAAATTCTCACGACGTTTCGACTGCAACACAAGCAATCATCATCAGGTGTGAAAACCACAGCAAGAAAATTTGAAAATGGTTTTCACACCTGATGATGATTGCTTGTGTTGCAGTCAAAACGTCGTGAGAATTTTGTTTTATATTTTTATTATTTTATTGTTTCCTTTCTACGTGGTGACTTTACCGAAAGAACCAAGAATATGAATCCCTGCAGTCACTAAAGCTTTAAATCAGAAGGTCGTAGGTTAAATCCTGACCCCAATGTCTGCTGTATACGGGCAGTCCTCGGCTTACCAACCCAATTAGTTCCTGAGGCCCGTTCGTAAGTCGAACTGTTCGTAAGTCAGAGAACACAATATTTCACAGTATTTAAATGTGTTACAGTTCAACAAAAAGGGAAGCATCGTTAAACTCATAATTAAGAATAATTATCGTAGATTTGCATGTAACACTGTAAAATATACTGTATAGTAAATAAAACAAAATAAAGAAACAAATAGAAAAAACTTTGTCGGAAGGGGGGCAAATGAGTCACCCCAATTGCACACAGCGCACATAGACACAAACAGCGCACAGACAAAGATCCCCCATATAGCCTTAACAGACTGTAGGGGCAAGTGCTGTTAGCGAGCACCTATGAAGGCCGGTAACGGTACACGAGGGGGTGGGTGGCCAGCACCACGCCCGACCGCCTTTGTCTCCCAAGTGGCAATGTTTACACCGCACCAGGTACTCATTTGAGGCTGAGTCGACCTAGGGGAGGCCCGGTTCAGATAATCGTCACTGGTGTTGGCCGTGAGCGGGAATCGAACCCGGGTCGCCAGGTTCATAGCACAGCGCGCTAACCGCTACACTACCGCTCCACACACAGCCAGCGCACACACAGACACAAAGACACAAAAACACACCCCAACGATCGCCCGGCTGCCTGTCTCCCCAGTGGCGATGTTTACACACCGCACCAGGTACTCATTTGATGCCGAGTCGACCTAGGGAAGGCCCAGGTCCCATTTCTGATAATCGTCACGTGTGTTGATCGTGAGAGGGGATTTGAACGTTGGTCACCAAGTTGGTAGCACAGCGAGCTAACCGTCGCACTACCGCTCCCCCCCACATACACACGCAAAGACTCCCCGTGTAGCCTTAACAGACTGTAGGAGCAAGTGCTGTTAGCGAGTAGCACTTATGAAGGCCGGTATGGCCAACACCATACCCGTCTGCCTTTGTCTCCCGGGTGGTGATGTTTACACACCACACCAGGAACTGGTGTTGGCCGTGAGCAGCGTGCTTACCCGGCTACACTCCCGCTCCCCACACACTCACACGCGCAAACACTCATTCCCAGCACAAGGCTGATTCATTACATCTCGCGCAGGATAGCTCCTCTGAACAAAATAGTTCCGCGGTTCAGTTTGCAATTGCGAGTTCGCGTTTAAAGTCAATGTAAAAACAATTTATTTCACGGGAGCTGGTTCGTAAGTACGGGTGTTTGTAAGTCAGGTGTTCGTAAGTCGATGACTGCCTGTATTTGGAGTTTGGATGTCTCTCTCCCTGTGATCGCGTGGATTTGTTTCCGGGTCCTCAGATTTTCCCCTCCACATTTGGAATCGGCGTGCGTTTTAGAGTATTTGGCGACTATACATTTTAACATGATCAACCAATTCGTCGAGTTACCATTTGTGGCCAGGTAATTTCTGAAAAAGAGCTAAATAGCTCAGTTGGCCTTACCTGGTAAAGTTTTAAAAAGTTTAATGTCTTCACGAGCATGGCGTGTGCCTTGCGATAAACGGCAAGTACCGCATGCAAGACCGACGATGGAGGGTTTCGACCAAATGTATCGGCAAATGGCACGGACACAAACGAGAGCCGTGCTTGGAATTACACCGAGAGAGAGAAAGAGTAACATGTGGATCAGAGAGCATCAGCACATTTTGAATATATTTACTTTTAAGAAAGGTTGGTTGAGCAAAAGACAAGTCGCTCTAAGCTAGAAGTAGGTTGAGCCTAATGAAGGAGTGGCACCTGAAGGACTAAAAACACCTTGGAGGATGTTCACGGTGGAGATTGAGGGATGAAATCCGCTCATATGAATTTGCAATATGGGCTAAGCCATTTCAGGGCCGTGATGGATGGTGTTGATGTGTGGAGGCCTGCATTGAGCAGGAGAGAGATAATGGGTGATTATGATAACGAGCAGGAGCCAAAATACTGTAGTTGCATTTTTCCGAACTGTATACTAATTTAAAGGGGTTAGAGCACTGGGAGCACTTGACTCACAATCAAAGAGTTGTATGTTCAAACTCTGGGCTATGGTAAATTTAGACCTTATCATGCCTCCATTAACAGCAATTATGCTATGAAGAAACAGCATAATTGTCAATGTGAAATTTACACTGCTGGTTCAGGGTCAGAAATGTAGGTATTATCTACGCAATGATTACACTTTGAACATTTTTTGGTTCCTGGGTAGTAAGTGTTATTTCCTAATTGCTTATGCCTGAAAGTACAGAAAATGGCTATTATTCCCCACAAACTTTGCTTTTGTGACCAGGACAGTGATATTTTTAAATTTACCTATTTTCCAGAACATTCCAGATAGATTAAGTGCTGAGTAAACTTGGAGTAACTTCTAGAACATTCTAGAACTGTCCAGTAATATAAAGTCGTATAAATACAGGGGCCTTCAGCCCACCAGTTCAGTTTAGTTCCAGCTACCCAAGTGGATACATATCTGCATTTTTCTGAGATGGCACAAAGAGGCTGCAAGCATCCGGCAGATGCATTTTGCTGTTTGCGGCCAATTTATGAAGACAAGAGCGAAAAAGTACTCTGTGGAAGCATCTGCTAAGATGTGTCAGGCATACAAGGCATATTTCGGCATGCCTGTCAGGGATCAAGACAAACCCTGGGCACCTCATTTCACCTGCGAGCAATGCAACAAAACTCTGGAAGGTAAGATGGACAATTGTTGCTTGGAATTTTATGTTCTAACATTTGTTACAATTTTTTTAATTGTAAGAGTTTTTTATTTTAAAATGTTTTACAATTTTCAATGTTATTGAAGAAAAAATATATATGAAAAATGTTGCAAGAATCTCTTACACATTAGTCATGGGTGAAATGTATTTTTGTAGGATGGTACAGAAGGGAAAAGTGCGCCATGAAGTTCGCAATCCCAAGAATTTGGCGGGAACACACTGACCACTCAAACAACTGCTACTTCTGCATGGTGGACCCTTCCAAACGTCGGACTGGCAAGAATGCACCTGCTATCACGTATCCGGACCTTCCTTCATCCATCGCCCTGGTGCCACACTGCCATGAGCTCCCCGTACCCACTCCTCCGGAGAGAGAGCAGCCGTCTTTAGAAGAGAGCAGCCGTCTTTAGAAGAGAGCAGCAAGTCAGAGAGCGAGGAAGACGTTGTAGATCCAGATGACAATTTCAGAGGTGGAACTGAGGAGAGAAACCCATACTACCCCAACCAAAAAGACCTCAACGACTTGATTAGAGATCTTGGTCTCACCAAGTCCAATGCAGAGCTTTTGATGTCTATGCTCAAGAAGTGGAACTTGTTGGATGAAAGTGTGCAAGTCGCAAATCAGAGGAAGCGTCATCAACCTTTTTGCAGCTTCTTCACCCATCAAGATGGGCTCTGCTTCTGCCACAATGTGACCAGTCTGTTCAAGGCAATCAGAATCGCCTGTAACCAGAATGAGTGGTGCCTCTTCATTGACAGCTCATCCAGGAGCCTCAAAGCCGTACTATTCCATAATGGTAACAAGTACCCGTCTTTTCCCCTGGCTCACTCGGTGCACCTCAAAGAGGATACAACAGCATTAAGACCTTGCTGGATGCCTTGAAGTATGATGAGTACGGCTGGGAGGTCATCGGAGACTTCAAAATTGTGGCATTCCTGATGGGTCTCCAAGGCGGTTTTACCAAGTTTCCCTGCTATCTTTGCCTTTGGGACAGCAGGGACACCAAGGCGCACTGCCACAGGTGGGACTGACCACTGGTGGACCCCCGGAAGCTGCACGTCAAATTGGGCCTTATGAAACAAGTTGTCAGAGCTGTAGATAAGGAGTCGGCAGCCTTCAAGTACCTTCAAGACTTCTTCCCTAAGCCGTCTGAGGCAAAGGTCAAAGCCCGTGCCTTCATCGGACCACAGATAAAGATGATCCTGGAGTGCAATGAATTCCCCAATAAGCTCACTAGTAAGGAGAAAGCAGCTTGGAACTGCTTTGTCGCAGCGGTTCGTGGCTTCATGGGAAATCACAAGGTCGAAAACTATGTGGAGCTGGTTGAGACTCTGGTGAAGAACTACGGCACAATGGGCTGTAGGATGTCCCTCAAAGTCCATATCCTGGATGCTCATCTTGATAAATTCAAGGAGAACATGGGAGCGTACTCGGAGGAGCAAGGCGAGCGCTTCCACCAGGATATACTGGACTTTGAACACTGCTAACAAGGACAGTATAACGAGAACATGATGGGAGACTACATTTGGGGGCTGATTCATGAAAGTGATTTACAGTACAATCGTAAATCTCGAAAAACTACTCACTTCTAAATCTGTTGTAGTAATTTTTGTATTACTTTAGTATAAATACATGTTAATTTTGATTCATATGTTTTTTTCTTCTGACTTTATATGTGAACGAAAAGACACAAAGTCGCCCGTTTTCTCATTGAAAATAGGTAAATTTCTAAATATCACTGTCCTGGTCACAAAAGCAAAGTTTGTGGGGAATAATATCCATTTTCTATACTTTTTAGGCATAAGCAATTACGAAATAACTTACTACCCAGGAACAAAAATTGTGTTACATAGTGAAATTAT